ATGATGTTTTGATATCTCAAATACGCCCTTTGCTTGTTGAGTTGTAAAATACTAAGTTACTCTTAATAAACAATTGTCCTGGCTAAACACACACTGATGGCCAGTGACATCAACAGAGGACAGATGCCAGCTTTACAAATCGAGAGTGTGTTTGCATTTCCTATGAATGGTTCAGGTATTTGATGCATCTTTTCCTTATTCAACAAATACTGATTGAACAGTTTGATTCCACGTGTCAGTGTTTAAAATACTTACTTAGTCTTTAGCTCTGTCTCTTTTGCTGAATAAGAAATTGTAGAGAGATATTTCAGGTTATGCTAGATAAGCATTTTTCTTTATTTATCGTTCCAAATTAAGCCAGAATAAAATATGTTATTTAATTGCATTAACATAAACTAAGAAACCAATGGGAGTGATTTCAAATTTGAGAAATATGAAATTAAAATAGAAATTTGGACTCATTTTCATCAACCTTACTGGTTCTAGGCAAGTCATTGTCATTACCTCTGCTTGCTGGTGATATTTGGAGCCATTTCATCCTGTGTCCAGTAATTGCTTGAATTTTAGTTAATGGCCAGTTTTGAAGCTGTCAGGATCTTAAGCAAATGACTAAATCATTGTGAGGAAGCATGGCTTCTGCAAGTCTACATCTAAGTAGGCTCTGACTTTAAAATAGCAAGTTCATTTCTGTTAATTTCTGTATAATTTAGCATGTAAGTAATTTCTAGCTATGAGTATGTCCCTTCACTCCTTTTTAAAGTATTTTTCATCAAATAGAATCTTAGGGAACAGTGAGCATAAAGGGATGTACACTCTATTCAAAGATTGCTGAAATCTAATTTGCTCATAATAAATTAACCAGAAAAAACTGTTTCTTCTGTCTACTGTTACATTATACGTTTTCTGGTAATCTACTAAACTTTGAAAGGATGAATAGATATAGAGCAATGAGAGCCTGATTAGGAAAAAGAGGTATGGAGACATTTTAAAAGGTTGATATTCTGTTAAGTAGTAATTTAGTTTTACTGAAAAGTCAATAAAGGCTGAAAAAGTTTAATTTTTTAATGAATGTTCTATTATAAGTAAACATTGAGATGTATACAATTATTAGGGGAGGAGGGCCGAAAGCATCCATCATGATAGAAGAAAGGACTGTCAAAATGATCCTACCAGAATTCTATCCAGATTATGAACTCCAAACAAGTATAACTTTTTAAGTAATGACCTTATTACTCTCAGTTTCCCAATATTATAAAATCGATGTGTTCTCTAAGAATCATTTAGATAGACAAACCTCTGTGGGAATCTATGGATGTAGAAACAACAGCTAGAGAAGGAGATTCAAATATTTTTGGTTCTCTTAAAAATAAATACTTTACTTTTTTCCTTCTGATTACAGCATCTTCACAACTATTTCACAGTGACACTTGGAATTCCTGCTTGGTGTTCTTACGTCTTTTTCGTCATAGCCACCTTGGTTTTTGGCCTTTTCATGGGTCTGGTAAGAGATAATACCAAACATTTTTCTGTCTTTAAGGCAAAGTGGATTTCATGTACAACTAATAGGCAGCCAAGAAAGAAAAAGCGCATAAAATATAGTGTTTTGTGTAATCTAAGTAGTTAAGTAGCATTTGCTTGTTTGAGACTGCTTTCAATGGTAATGTGAGATATAATTGAAAAATTATTAAATTCTTATCACCAATCCTATCCCTTGAATATTTTGGAGTCACTGCCTAGAGTATAGACAGTAATATAAATAAAAGAGAGACCCTACTTGAATTGATAGTTTCTAAGACAACTGAGTCAGCTGTTATTTCACATATGGCCCACTTAATTAGAACACTGTAGTAGTAAGGCCAGTGTTTTGAATTTGTTCTTTGGGTAGATGCAAGATTTTTGTTTTGTTTTTATCCTCCAACTGAACTAATCCTGACCAGCCGCTTATTCATGCATACACTCTGGTTTTCCCGAGATAGAGTTTGTAAGATAATGTAGTTAAAACAACACAATTATTTTTTGGGCATGAAAATCAGTACCTAATATATATCTGTGCGTTTTCTCCCCAGTGTTTCAGGCAAGAGTTGAATGGTAAATTTATTTATCTAACTGTATAGACAACTATAAAAGTTTAGCATGTTATATTCTTTGTTATTTTTTTCTTTCTCTTAACTAACCTAATCTTGATTAGTTTGATTTCATTTTAAACCCTAATTAAGCCAAAAAGTTTTTAAAAACCTTTATAATGTATACTAATCACATAGTTCCTATACACTATAATGGGAATAATTGATGATTACTAAAAATTTATATAAGAGAACAGACTCTAAGGTAAGATTATCTTAAAGTCTGTCCTAATATTTTATAATGAATTTTGTCTGTTTAGCAAGTTCTTTTTAAAAATAAGCTTAAAATGTTAACAATTGACTTATAGTAAGTCATAACCACCCCCAAGGAGCTAAGGAGGCTTGATTTGACTTTTCCATGAACATACCTAATTCAAATCATGGCTTATCTTTAAGACTTGGCTCCTGATGTTAACTTCAGGGGTGGGAATGAGACTTACTTAGATACCTGTATGTGTCCTTCATTAGGTCCTGGGTATGTTCTGTTCTATTGCATTAATCTTTTTGCTAATTAACATGTCCCCATTGCCCGGGTCTAAAGAGAATCGACACTGGTTATAAATAGAATGCCATTGTGCTTCTCTCATCTGTTGTCTAGTTGCTAGATTTTTCTAGCAGTGTATTTTGGGGCTACATAGTGTGAGGTTCTTGTAGGGGGAACAGTATGTGGTCCCAGGAGAATCAGTGATGGAGTTATAGGGAATGTAGGTTGTGTGTGAACCTGTTGGAAGGCTAGTGAAAATGCTTAGAGGTTTAGAATATTATTTTGATGTTGACTTTAAGTTCATGAAATTGCGTTGGGCCTGCCTGCCTATGCCTTAGATTCTTTTGGAAGCCTAGATTCAGATAATTAGTGCAGAAGGATTATTGAAGCCTTGGCCTGAGGAAAGGAGAGAGTTGATTCTAGCCTGTTCAACTGATTGAGATAGACTATCCTTCCTTAATAAGAAGTTGGGAAAATAACTTTATTTAATAAAAGAACAATTTCAAAGCATAAGAATCATAAATTTAAAAAGATTCATACATTTATTGTTAATAAGTTTCCAAAAAATAAACACGTATCTGTGTTCAAAGTGCCTATTTTAGGTTGTGCACAGTGGGTGAGGCCTGTAATCCTGGCACTGTGGGAACCCGAGGCAGATGAATCATTTGAGCCTAGGAGTTTGAGACCAGCCTGGGTAACATGGTAAAACCCTGTCTCTAGAAAAAATACGGAAATTAACCTGGCATAGTGGCACACGCCTGTAATCCCAGCTACTCAGGAGGCTGAGGTGGGAGGATCACTCGAGCCCAGGAGTTCAAGGCTGCAGTGAGCTATGATCTTGCCACTGTACTCCAGCCTCGGTGACAGAGGTAGACCCTGTCTCCCAAAAACATAAACAAATAAAAATAAAAACAATACATACATACACACACAAATAGAATGCCTTTTCTATAACTGTAAAGTGTAAACACACAACAGCTGGAATGTTTGCCTTTAGTAACCTTTAATTTCTTACGTACTTTTCAGCCTCTTTTTGTGAGAGTTATATAATTTGAAACATCTGCATTCTTATCCCATTTTAAATCATCTATTCCAGAATGACATTTTTGTTAACTTCTAGGATGATAGAGAATTGTTTCTCAATTGTTTACATATCTTAGCCACACAGAGAATATTTATGTAGCATGCCAGTGTAAAGGGATGGTACTGAGGGACAAAGCTGCCTGAGGCTGGCTCTGAATGGCCCAGACTCCTTAAGGGATGATGTGCCTGTTGGGACGCTACGATCTAAATATTTTTCTTGTTCTTTTTTTTTTTTTTTTTTAATAACTTCACCAGCTCAGTCAAAATTAAATGAGTAAGTTAGATAGACTAACCACCTGAGATGAAATTGTTGGTTATACCATTTTCCAGAATAGAAGAATAGAATAAATTAAGGTGAGGGATATGGTAATTACCCTGATTTGATCATTATGCTATATATACATCCATTCAAACATCACATTGTATCCCGTCAGTATATATAGTTACTTTATGTCAATTATAAATAAAAAAAAGAGAAGTCAGAAAAAAAATTATGTTCTAGAATAGCCAGTAAACATTATAACTATCACTTTAAAATGTAAGGTTTTCAAACCTGAATCATTTCAGATGGAATGCTTTTTCTCTTTGTTGTTCAAATTGATTTAAAGCCTTAGAGTTTATTGTTCCCCAACCCACCAAGCCTTCCTGCATCTCATTGCCCCACCTCCTGGGTCTCCTCAGTTTATCATTCAGGGCTTTCTCTGGATCCAAGATCCCCCTTGGAGATCCAACTTAGTTTAGTTTAGAGCAGCCAGGTTGTGCTGCTGTTCTCTCCTGACTGCCCAGGGCATTAAATGCCTCCTCCTTTCAAGTCATCTTCAATCCTTCCCCATCCACAGCTGGTTGTAACATTTGTGAAATGTTCTTCCACTCAGTCAGGGGTTACCCACTGGTGAGGGGCAGCCTATATACAGAGTGGTTTGGTTGTCCAGAATATGTGTTTAAAAGACTTGGTTCATAGTGTCTATCTTCTTATGGCTGCTTGGTTCATCTATTTATAGTGGGTTCTCTGTAGACTTTTGACTTTGTGACCACTGTTCTAAATTAGTATTTTCCTGTATTATGTCACATTTGAAAACTAGGAAATTCTTAATTATATCCTTGTCTCTTGTGAAGACTTTTGACTAGCTGCTAATTAATAGTCTAAGAATATCTGATTATAGAAGCAAGGCCTAATTTTGAGTCCCTTTGGTAATAAATGTCCTATCTCTTCACTGTAAAATCACTTTTTCCCCTCCAGGTCTTGGTGGTAATATCAGAATGTTTCTATGTGCCATTTCCAAGGCATTTATCTGAGCATTCTGGTAAGTACAATTCGCTTCAGTGACATAGAGTGATTTTGGAATTCTGTGTTGTGCTCTTTTGTGCTCATATACATAGTGGGTTTTCTCTCTTATTTGCTAGGTTGCCAAATCATCACTACCAAATTTCATAAAATATGTTTCCTAGGTAGATTTGAACAAAAATTATTTTTCTCCTTCTCTTAAATTAGGAAATACTTCATTTTGGTAAATGCTTTTTCTTTTTAATTGTGTGCTCTTCATTAATCAGTGTCATGTTTTCCTTTAACTGCAACTAGATGTGAAGAAGGGGAATTCAATATATATTGAGTCTCCTCTCTGCCAGTAACTTTCCTAAGTCCTTTAAAAGCAGTCTCCTCAAATCCTTGCGCTGCTCCACACTGCTTCCGGGGCCAGGTGGCCCTGGATTTGCATGTCTTTATTCCAGACTATTTTTAAGACTGCATAAAGATGTTCACGAGAGTTTGTAATTGTTGAATTTTATGTAGGAGTTTAAATAAGCTCATGTTTCTTTTTAGTTCTTGAAGTTCTTGAGGCTTTGAGACTTTAATTGATAATTAGAAAATAGTTCCTTGCGGCGTCGGCCTTTCCGCCACAATCGCCATTGGAGAGTAGCAGCCATGGCTCTTCGCTATCCCATGGCCATGGGCCTCAACAAGGGCCACAAGGAAACCAAGAACGTGAGCAAGCCCAGGCACAGCCGCCGCCGCGGGCGTCTGACCAAATACACCAAGTGCATGCAGGACATGATCCGGGAGGTGTGTGGCTTTGCCCCGTACGACTGGCACGCCATGGAGTTACTGAAGGTTTCCAAGGACAAATGGGCCCTCAAGTTCATCAAGAAAAGGGTGGGGACACACATCCGCACCAAGAGGAAGCGGGAGGAGCTGAGCAATGCACTGGCTGCCATGAGAAAAGCCGCTGCCAAAAAAGACTGAGCCCCCTCCCCTGCCCTCTCCCTGAAATAAACAGCTCCACCCAAGCCCTGGCTCCGCTGCTGTCCCGGGGTGGGGGTGGGGTTTTTCAAGCATCTGTTTGGTGCCGACTAAGCCATGCCACGAATCAAAGCCCTGGCAGAGCCACCCACCCACCCTTCCTGGGACAGCAGGCAAGGAGGCCCCATACTGGAAATGACTTTAATGATTAAATAGTTCCTATGCCACAATGATTAAAAAATAATAATAATAGAAATCCAATATCAACCAGTTTAGGGAAAAAAATCAAAATTTATTAGCTCACATAACTGAAAAGCCCAGGGATGTTCTAGCTTCAAGCACGGCCCAAGTGATGTTAGGTTTTTCTTTCTGTGTGGCTTATTCATAAGAGTTGTTGACAGTCTGTGCTCATTTTCTCTGTTTAAAAATCCCTGAAGAAGGAGAGACTTTCCCTCTTGAGTCTGGTCCAGAACTTCTTGTTAGTCCTTTGAGTGGCTCAGCTTGTCACATTTCTGAACCAATCACCATGACCAATAGGGTCACTGAGCCTTCTACAAGACACAAAATACAGAGCGTAAAGGAAACTTTGCTCTTGCTGCCCACATGCCCTGCAGAAGTCATTATGGTCCATGAAATCTCCAGAGACAGATGGAGAAGCCCTAAATATGACTAGGATGTCAACCAGAGAATCTATCCTGTGTGACCATAACTTCAAGACAGAAAAAAACTATCACTTTCCCTCTGTTTTTATTTCACAGCTATACATACTCATTTGATTATTAAATTACAATTGTATATTCAGAGGATATTCCTCTTTCTTCCCTCCACAGAGCAGAATCGGAGGTCAGAGGAGGCTCATAGGGCTGAACAGTTGCAGGATGCAGAGGAGGACAAAGATGATTCAAATGAAGAAGGAAACAAAGACAGCCTTGTAGATGATGACGAAGAGAAAGAAGACCTTGACGATGAGGATGAAGCCGAGGAAGAAGAGGAGGAGGACAACCTGGCTGCTGGTGTGGATGAAGACAGAAGTGAGGCCAATGACCAGGGGCCCCCAGGAGAGGACAGTGCAACCCAGGAGGAACTAGAGCCTGAGGAGGCTGAAGAAGCCATCTCTGAGCAGCCCTGCCCAGCTGACACAGAGACGGTGGAAGACTCCTTGAGGCAACGTAAAAGTCAGCATGCTGACAAGGGACTGTAGATTTAATGATGTGTTTTCAAGAATACAGACCAAAACAATATGTCAGCTTCCCTCTGGCCTGCAGTTTGAACCAAATCCTTAATTTCTCCTGAATGAGCAAGCTTCTCTCTTAAAAGATGCTCTCTATTCATTTGGTCTCATGGCAGTAAGCCTCACTTATACTAAGGAGAGTGAGGTGTGACAATCAGGATATAGAAAAACAAATGTAGTGTTGGGATCTGTTTGGGGGCTGGGATGGGAACAATTTCATTTACTTGGTGGCGAGAAAGTCTTGACCAGAGGAGGCCACTCCCAGCCCTAAATAGCACCTTCTACAGACAAGGCTGCAGGCTGAGAGAAATAAAAGCAAAGCAGGAGCCTTGGATCCTGAGCATCCTCAAAGTGTAGCATAGAAACCTTACTTCCTTTTCTTGTGTAAATGATTTATTTTTGTCAAATTGCAAGAAACATCAGGCATCACAGTGCATGAACACTGTTTTACGGATAGCAATTGAGGAGGCCTTGGGTACAGAAAGGAGCTCAGAAGCCATCACAGCCCTCTGACTCTCCTGTGTCATGTTTTATTTCTTACCTTTAATTTTTCCAACTTTTCCACCATGGGGGTTCAGGCTCTCCACACTCTTCACAATTATCTCTTGGTTAGAGGACTCCAATAGCAGCCAGATTTACATGAACTGTGTTGCTTATTTTGACCTATGGGTTTAGGTAATCAGTAACCATAACCCATGAAGTCATGACCACCAAACATCTCAAATGAAATGTTGTAGCCATCAGAGGTTCAAAAGGAAGTAAGGATTTTACAAGACAGATTAAAAAAAATTGTTTGGCCAAAATATAGTGTTTTTATTTTTTTAAGTTTCCTTAACAATATTCTTTTTCAAACCAGAAGTCCTTTAAGTCTTGACAGTACAAGGTGGTCTTGTGAAGAAAAGTTGAATACTGTTTTGTTTTGTTTTCATCTCAAGGGGTTCCCTGGGTCTTGAACTACTTTAATAATAACTAAAAAGCCACTTCTGGTTTTCCTCCAGTGTTGTGCTTTTGGTGGAAGAATTAATGAACTTCAGTATCTGAAAATGAAAGATTTGATTTTGTTTCCATCTTCTGTAATCTTCCAAAGAATTATATCTTTGTAAATCTCTCAATACTCAATCTCCTATAAATACCCAGGGAGCCTAATTTCTTTTAAAAAAATCTATCCATTTATTTTTCTCTTACCTGATTTTTGTGTTGGAATAAATTCATGAAATTAGGTTCCAAGCATATGAACGATGCCTAAAGTTGATTCTATGCCCCTTGGATCCAGATAGCATAATGAGTACAGGTTTATGAAACTCTAAAAGTTTCTGTTGTATTTAAAAAGGAACATGTGGTATATTTCTATCCGGCTGTTTAGATAACCCTTTCCTTGTATTAACTGCGAGCACAGGGCTCACTGGTGGGGGAGGTTCTGAAACTCTCTGCCCTCCTGTGGCTGAATGAAGCTGTTGCAAGACTTGCACAAAGGAGGTTATTCTTCTGACAGCATCAATTTTTAGAGATGATTATTTTTCATCTTTCCAATTCAATTACTTGACAGTCTCCTTCCCTAGTATGGTAAAGTTTAAGAGTCACCAGTAATTGTGCTTTTCAGACAGTGGTGCAGCTTCAAGATTGAGGCCATCACCCAGCTGATGGGCTGGGAGAAACTTGCCATGTCCTGCCCATTTTCTGCCTCCTTAGTCACTGCCCATTTCCTGCCCCTTTGGTGGCTGACACATCTTCACCCAAAGTGCCATGGTTCTGATGGTGGCAGTTCCATCTCCCTGATACCAGGAAGCTTTTCTGGATAAGAGCAGAGCTGGGCCTGCCTGTCCTCCTGTCACTGGATTTCTTTCGCTTAAAATCAGCTGAAACAGAGTTTTCAAAGAACAGTCTACCCAGGTTCACAGGTATTATGGAATAAGAATGGTTTTATAGTTCGGCTTTTCTATGTAATGCCTCCCACTCAAACTGAAATATTCTTTTTTTTTAGTGGAGGACTTGACTAGAGGGGAGGGAAGGCAGAAATACGGTCTACCCTGGCTTTTATAAATATAAAGCCAATTTCCAACCAGACCTCAAATAGTACAGGTTGAACATTCCTCATCCACCAATCCAAAACTCCAAATGCTCCAAAATCTTAAACTTTTTGAGTTCCAACATTATGTCAGAAGTGGACAATTTTAAACCTGACCTCATTTGACAGGTCACAGTGCAATCAAAACTTTGTTCCATGCACAAGATTATTAAAAATATTGTATAAAATTACCTTCAAGCTATGTTGTATAAAGTCTATGTAAAACATAAATGGATTTTGTGTTTAGATGTGGGTCTTATTCCCAAGATATCTCTCATACATACAGAAATCCCCAAATCCAGAAAAATTTGAAACACTTCTGGTCCCACACATTTTGGATAAGGGATATTTGATCTATATCTAATTATATAATAAGACAATTTTTTTTTTTTGAGATGGATTTTCTCTCTTGTCGCCCAGGCTGCAACGGCACAATCTCAGCTCGCTGCAATCTCCGCCTCCCTAGTTCAAGCCGTTCTCCTGCCTCAGCCTCCAAAGTAGCTGGAATTACAGGCGTGTGCCACCATGCCTGGCTAATTTGTGTACTTTTAGTAGAGATGGGGTTTTGCTATGTTGGTCAGGCTAGTCTTGAACTCCTGACCTCAGGTTATCCACCTGCCTTGGCCTCTCAAAATGTTTGTATTACAGGTATGAGCCACTGTGCCTGGCAGAAAATGTATTTTCTTTCTCAGGAATACTTTTAAAAAAACTGAAGGGTGAGGAAAAAAAAATCTTGGAGAAAAGAACCCTTTAAAACTTTAAATATTTATCTGTGGGAACGATTTTTCCTGATTTTCCCTTTTTTAACATCATGGCAAAGATGGATTTTTTACCAGATGTCCTGATAAGTACATAACTAATGTCTTTCCACTTAAGACTTTAGGTTTGTTTTGAATACTTAATATAAACTAAAGGAGAAAAGTTAACCTAAAATAATTTAAACTTAAAATTATATGAACAATTCAATAAGACATTGTGGATTTTTTTTTATAGATAATATATTTGATCCAGAACTTGAGTATATGGAAACATGATTTTGATTTTTAAAATCTAAAAAAAATTAAAATCATGCTTCCCTCTATTGCAATATCAGTTATTTAGTCACAGAATGGTATTTTATGTAAATTAAAATTAGGTGAATTCAGTGAAGGTAACTGGTTTTGGAATGGGAATGTGCATTGCTTCATGTTTGGGGGGTTGGAGCAGGGTACCTTTTCATTGATTAGAAGGAAAGTGTGAAACTTCTGATTACCTTTATGTTGGTTTCTCTTATGATTTATCTCTTGCTAGATCTGCTAAACCAGCGTAGCTTGCTCAGAGATCTCATTAAAGCAACGTACAGGCAATCCACATCTTTCTTTCCCTTTGAAGTATAGCTATTGGATGGGATGAGGGACAGGGCCTGTTGGGTTCACAGGGCCTTGCACTGCATGAGCACATGCTTACAAGCTCATCTTGTGCATAGAATCCCTGCCTGTTAACCACAGCCCTCTTCATACTTTCAAAATAACCACTGTCGTAGAAAATAGATAAGCTTCGGCGGGGTTAGCTTTTGATATTGGAAAAAGCCAAAAGTTTACTTTTTATGGCCAAAATTCCTTATTGACAACTGTGATATTCTGATATGATTTGGAAATATGTAAGTTTACAGAGCCTGCCTCCTGTAAAAGTACCTTTGAGGTAGATGATAAAAGTCATTTTTAAGGCAAATACTTACCATGTGACTTTTTATTAGCAAGTGCATCAGTAGTAGAGCTGGTATGTTGTTTTTCAGGATGGAAACATTAAAGAGTCCAGAGAAAAATAAATTTTAAAGAACTTAGAAAACATAAGGTAAACATGAGATTTCAGCATAAAATCTTTGGTATGAAGTGAGAGAAAGAAGAGGGAGGCTAGTGCTCTTGCTCCTATTGATAGGCTGTGTCCTTCATCTTGGT